TCTCTGTATATGTATTTGTTGTTTTATATACATTGATTCTAATTTTTCAGGACCCTTGATCAAACACTTGTCTTCTATTCTCAAATGGACTAGGTCAAGTCCAATAGCATTGACAAATTTATTAGATGGGTCAACATCCTTTTAGATGAGGGCTCACAATTTTGGACCTGGGTGCTCCCAATGTTTCGAAAATCCCATTAAGATTATTTTTGAATTATATAAATTCACCTCTTAAGATTTTTTTAAGGAAATTTAATACTGTATCCTTTAGATTTTTTAATTTATTTATATAAATATTAAGTGGTATGGTAGGCTTTAGTGTACTTGGTGTTGTTTTTGTTTTTGCATTTGCCCCCAGAAGATAGAATCATGCATCCATCCCTGTATGTATATACAATTCTCTCATGTTTTGATGGTACATAGATGGAAAAGTCCTTTAATTTGAGAATGGGTACCTAGTTGAAACTGTTGTGGATGAAAATGAGCTTGGAGTTGTGCCATACAAGGACAGTGAGCTCTACGCTGTCGATGAAGTTAATAGCAACATTGTTCAGATTACTGCCCCATTGTTTCAATGTAAGCTTGTTCCTATCTCTTGCTATGTTCACCAATTGATAATTAGATGTTTCCACTATTGCCATAGTACACCCAGTTTGATTGCCTAGAAAATTGAAAGAAAGGGTAAAGGTTCAAAAATGGGATTTTGTTGTTTTTAATTTTATAAGTTTTAATTCATTAATTATTAATGTTGGAGCATTTTAGAAAATTGAAAGAAAATGACTCGAAATAAAAATTTACAAAATGGAAAACAAAAACTCAAAAGTTAATTTTTAAAGAAAAAAAATCTAAACCGCAAACCGCACTGCGGGCGGTTGCAGTTTGACTTTTCCCTAAACCGCATAGGTGCGGGTGGGTCAAAATCGAACCGCAAACACACAAAATCGATCCGTGAGCACCCTTACTCTTAACTTCCAAAGGGAAAGCTTGAACTTTAACCACTCCACCACCTGAGTACTTGTGATATAATCTTTCACAAGTGAGTATTTATTACATCAGTCAGAGAATCACCTTCAACCTCCAACTTCGCCCGCCGGACTAAACTTTCTGGCAACCCTCCGACTAGTCTCCAGCTACGCATGTGAGGGCGCGTGGATAATCGTTTTGGCTTGATTTGTCTGGGTTTGGAATGCTCTCGTCGAGACAGTCCTTCTAGTGTACTCAAAAAGTGATTTTGAGCAACTCGAAAATTTCAGTTTTGAAGAAAAACACTCTGTTTTTTTGAAACTTGCTCACCTCGGATTTGATACCACTTGTTAGGATCAAGGCACTCCAGAAATCAATCACACACAAAAAAACACAAGAGACAAAAGATTTACGTGGTTTGGCAATAGCCTACGTCCACAGGAGAGATATCCACTATAAAAATTTTTTCCCGAAGGGAGTTATACAACACTCACACCTCATATTCTCTTTATAGCACTCTTACCTCACAGATACATACACTCTGTGTTTTCTTCTTTTCCTGTGTTATTCTTCTCTTTCTCTCAGCCTCTATTTATATATAGAAGAGAGGGAACAAAGTCAAGTGAAGGGAGTTATTGGGTTGCCAAACTGCTAACTGCCAACTTCCCTCTTCCTTCTTGACTTGGAAACCCAACCTCCAACTACTCCATGTGGGCTGGAGTTAACATGGTGGTCAAGAGGTTCGCGTCGGTGTCGCGGTGGTCAAGAGGTCACTGCTACCGTGGTGGTGTCACGGTGATTTTGACGCTTGTGAGCTCGTCGGGCTGGAGATCAGAGTTAGAAGATTGTGAGATCTGAGTTCTAAGTTTGTTGCCGCTGCCACATTTTTGACTACCATCCCTCCGACTTCGTCCTTGACCACTGAAGCCAAAAAACCTCTTGCAGATTTGAAAATCCTAACCCTAACATTTGTTTGGTGATGGAGAGGGGGTGTTTGGCAAGAACACTATAGTCTGGGAAACCAACACCACCTTTATTTCACTGCGAGATTGTTCTTTGTTGTATTTCTCAGAGATCTGAGAAATTTTTATTTTTTTTATTATTTTTTGTTATTCTTGTTGATGAAGATAATAAAGAAGCAGACTACAACATATAAGGGGATCGGAGAGAGATTTGAACATATGTTTGAATTTTTTATATTTTTTTATTATTGTTGCTGTTGTTGTTGATGATGATGAAAAAGAAACAAATTGCAACAAAATAGGGAGAGAGAGGAGAGATCTAAACATATAGAGGAAAAAAAAATTTGAACAGCTAGGGTTTGGTTGAGCTTGGTATTGCAACATGTAGGGTTGGTTTGGCTTAACTGATATGCTTTTGTTTAGCTTCATATTTCAGCAGATAAAAAATATATATATAAAAAAATTGAATAGATAAAATTTAGGCAAATGAATTCAGATAAAAAATTAAACAGATAATAAAATTTAAACAAAATAAAAAATTAAACAGATAATAAAATTTAAACAAAATATTTCAACAGATATAGGGAAAAAATTCAATAATAGTAAAAAAAAATTAACAAATAGTTAAGAAATTTGAGCAGACAAATGAAAATTTGAATAGATAGTTAAAAATTTGAACAAATAGATGAAAAATTTAAACAAATATAAAATAATTTGAACAGATAATAAAAAAAAGTCAACAGATAAAAAAAATCAACAGATAAATTAAGGGATAAAATTGAAAACAAAATACCTTTAAAAAAAATAAAAGGGCTTATCACAAAACTATTTCACAAATGGTGGACCTCACACTAATAAAAAAAATATCCATTAGACCTGATGCCTTATACCCTCCTTAACTTGAACTTTTTAACATTTTTTTTTTAACAATTCAAAAATCTTATGGAGAAAAAAAAAAAATTATTACATTGCAGTGCCCTTTGATCTTTTTGAACATATGAATAAAAGGACTTCTAATTTACATTTTTTTTAAATTTTAAAAAACACCATTTTAACATATTTTTAATTTGCTTGTTGATTTTTAATTTTAATTTTTGATTTTTTTGATTTTTTTTTTTTTAATTTCTTAGTCCAGTGCGTGCTTAAAAATAATCAAGTGCACCCTAGAAAACACCACTTGCATTATTGTCTTTGTTAAGTTGTCTAGTTATGTCAAAATTTCACGTTTTAAAATATCATAATTTTTATTATATGTACCTTTTTTTTATTTTTTATTTTTATAGAATTTATAATATTTTTGTTAAAAATTATCAAACAAGATCTATTGGAGATTAATTGATATTAACAAAAATTAAAATTTTCGTAATTTCTAAAACAAAGATACTACAAAAATTTGCGATTTCATCCCCAATTAGTTGTTCATCATTCTTTCTTGAACTTCATCTCCTCTTAATCAATGTTGCAACAGATTAGAGTATGTAACTTTCTTGACTTCTCTTTTTAGATCTTTGACACATTTAAAAATTGCATAATGCTACAAGCTCTGATGTTATCATAATTCTTATGAGTCTGTTGATAGGGATGGAAAAACAAAAGAGTCATTGCTTGAGCCATGTTTCCCAACTTACTTTAGTGCAGAGCTTTTACTTTTCTAGTAAGGGACCAGCGTTTTGAGGCTAACGTAGGATCCGCTCAAGGACCTACCAATTTAGGTAATATCTAACGTGTTTCCCGACTACAAAGTCAGTTCTGGAGTGCAAGCTATGCATTTTTTGGGATTTGCATGCACCATGGTTGAAACCTCTAACGCTGTATTTGGTTGGGAGATTTGAGGAAGGATTTGAAAAGAGAAAGGGAAAAGGTGTGTGAAATTAGGTAAAATATAGGTATATTTTATTCACATTTCACCTACCTTTTCCATTTCCCTTTTCAAATTTTTCCTTAAATCCTCCAACCAAACACAGGTTGGACTTGAGTAGGCTGAAAAAAAAAAAAAACAACAACTGCAATTGTCTGATTGTTTCATCTCAGTGGTTCAGGCAAGGAATTTAGAAAGGCTTGCATTAGGTTAACATCATCGATTCCATTTCTGATTCCATAACCATGATGGACAGTGCAGAGGAAATCTGTGTGTTTATGTATTGAGTTTATGAAATAACCCTATGTATGTATATAACCTACCCAAAAATTAAAATGATAATTATTTTTTACCCTTAAATGATAATTATTTTTTATTTTTTATTTCTCAAAAAAAAAATTTTGTAACCACGTTTTTTTCAGAAAAAAATTTATGTTAAAAGCGCAATTTCAAATAGCGTTTTCTTAATTAAAATCGCGATTTCGAATAACGCTTTCACTATTCATCAAATTTTACGTTCCAAACAGTGAAAGCGCGATTTATAATAGCGCTTTAGCCTAGTTTAAAAAATCCTTTCAAACTAGGCCTAATTTAAAAAATAGAATGCAAAAGAGACTTAGTTTGGGAAAAGCCCCTTCTGTTGATAGGGATGGAAAAACAAAAGAGTCATTGCTTGAGTCATGTTTCCCAACTTACTTTAGTGCAGAGCTTTTACTTTTCTAGTTAGAGACTAGCGTTTTGAGGCTAACGTAGGACCTACCAATTTAGGTAAATATCTAACGTGTTTCCCGACTACAAAGTCAGTTCTGGAGTACATGCTATGCATTTTTTGGGATTTGCATGCACTATGGTTGAAACCTCTAAGGGGTCTAAATAGGTTGGACTTGAGTAGGCTGGGAAAAAAAAAAAAACAATTGCAATTGTCTGATTGTTTCATCTCAGTGGTTCAGGCAAGGAATTTAGAAAGGCTTGCATTAGGTTAACGTCATCGATTCCATTTCTGATTCCATAACCATGATGGACAGTACAGAGGAAATCTGTGTGTTTATGTATTGAGTTCATGTATTGAATTAGATCAACATGGAACAATCTACTCAGGGCTTCCCCTAACCACCAAGGAGAGTAGGAATTTTACTAGAGGGAGAGAAAGAGGCAATAATTTGAACAAGTGTTTAATGATTTGATTACTGTGACTGACTTAGCTTGTAAATTAGATAGGAACAGAAAAACCTAGAAATGGATTAAGTTCATATCATATGCAACATGAATTTTGGGGTTAACCAATAGGTACAGTAATGTATGCTATTGTGCTTTCAAGTAAAGTAGCATACAATTGAGTGGGGAAAATATTAAAGAAAAATAAAAACCTCAAAAATTCTTAAGACTGTCAAAATAACCTATGAAACTACAATTTAAAAAACAAAAATCCTTGACAAAACAAAAGAAATTGTTACAGTTGCAGCAGTGGAGATAAGGCCTCAAACTCCCAAGTAATCTCAGGCAATATCGCTTATCTATCAAAGATGGAGGTTTCTGAATTCACACTACTTCGGCTGCCTGTGAATGTGATCCTCTTTCTCCACAAAAATAATCCTCAGGGGGACGACGTCTCATTAGGTTCCTTCTGCTACTTGTGACTATTTAACACTTCATTACATGTGCAAGCTCTAAGGTGGATGTGCTGAAGAACTTCCTGCCCAATGCAGACACAATTATCAGCCATTATTGTAAACTTAGTCCATAGGTAATTAAAGAAATAAGATTTTTCATGTTCCTGTGCACTGGGGAAAAGAAAAAGAAAAGAAACATATATAAGAGTGAACCCATTAACTGAGGTTGTGGTCCATGCAGTTCCAAAAAAAGAAACAGAGGTCTGTGGTCTATTGGAAAAAATGAACTTTGAACAATGAGCAATCAGCATAAGCAAAGAATGCAAGGGATCATTATGGACACTCATGTTAGACTATTAAGTGTAAGATTGTACGGCAGTGCCTAGAGTGTCATAGAAACAAAAAATAAAAAAAATTAGTAGACAAGAATTTTCTTGAGAGCTATGAAGAAAGTATTATCATACATATACACTCAACACTCCCGGGAGATCTTCATTAATAAATAGAATTACTTTGATTTTAAATTACTCCATTATTTTCAGTGATGAAAAATTTGCTTGAAAATTTATAAAGTTTTCAGTGAAAATAAAACATTTCCACAAGAAAAAAACTCTTACAATGTAATTTAAGTAATAGGAAATATTCAAATCTTCTGTAACTAATAATTCATTAATATTATTAATTACTCCAAGAAAACATGTATGGTGGGCCATTTGGTCAAACACTTTATTGTATTTTATTTTTTAAATTTAAAAAATTGGGAAATTCATAATTATATCTCATGGAACAAAATTGGTTCCACAAATAATTATTAATCATTAAGGATTATGAAATTATAGACTATTAATTACTAGAGGGCCAACTGTAAATAGATATTGCTTTCATGGTCAACAAATAGTGCCTAGTAACTGAGAATTTCAATGCTTCAACCAACTAAAGACCACCATCAGTAAAGAGTATAAATTTATTGTCTGTAATATAAAATTAGTATCGGCTTCAAAAACTGGAAGCAGGTGACTCGTACCTTTGCTCCTTTTTTATGCAGAGGATCGTCTATCTAAGAAGATGAAAACCAATCTAACTCTTACTATCCGACTTTGGCCTCTCCATTCACTAAGGTACTTTTGTTTTCACTGGAAACACTGCCAATAGCTTTACTGCTGCTCCTTTTTGGCGTCTCTTTGATGGTAGAGGCACCATCTTTGGCAGAACTATCTAATCTTTTGACAACCTTCTCTTTTGGTAGATTGTCCTCTTGTGAATGACTTCTAAGGGAGCCTGTGTGTTTCACAGTGCTACTTTTATCTGCAGACTGTTCAGTTTTCCCTCCTATTAAACCATCTTTGTGCATGTTCACAACTTTCTTGGGTGTACCCTTATCGGAAGCTTTCTGGGAAGCTGCATTTTCCTTGGTAAGGTCACCCGTACGGTGCTTCAAACTGGGTTTCTCTGGAGCATCTGGAAGTAGAGCACGGCGGCTTAGGCGAAGTTGTCCCTTTTCATTTATCTGTATTTCAAGCTCACAGTTATTAGAGATTGTTAACATTATTATTTTTTCTGCAAAAGTAGTTCCAATAGAAGAATATGCCAACTGGAAGAGTGAAACTTGGCAAAAAGGGTGGGTTAAGGAGATCAGAAGTATCAGTAATTACCAGCATTATTATTAATTTAATCTGTAAAAATTTGCCACAGAAAAATTTATGTCCATCACATCGACATTTTTTCATATTCTAATAAGATTTCAGAGGACATGCACATCTAAAAAAGTAATAACGATGCGAAATTATAGTATATAAGAGTCTAGGGGTGAATATCTGGTCAAAAAACAAGGTGTACAAATAAACATCACATCATTAGCCCCAGACCACGTAACATGGTATTAGAGCTTATGTTGGGGGATGTCTCTCTTTCTTTGCATTTTGCTGCTCTCTCTATATATGTTTGTTTGCGTCTCCATTTTAAAAAAGGGGTTGCACATGAGGGAGGGTGTTGAATAATTTCATATACATTGTTGGGTCTATTTCCTAACAATTTATACTTTTGGAATAATTAGTGACTTGATGTGGTATCAGAGCTGAAATACCCAAGGATGGCAGGTTGTGTATCCCTGACTTGCACGAGGCAAATGCTACTGAGTGAGCATGCTGCATGCCAGAAAGGGTGTCAAGCCAAGTCTCACAGTGCCTAGGTATGAAATTAATATATAAATGTGAGGACCCCCTCACCTCAAAAGCTATCTTTTAAGGTTGAGTTCCACCTCAAAAGCCATCTCAAATGATTCTTGTTTGGGCTTAGGCATATATAGAATTAAACTGGAAACTTATTTCAGCCACCGAAGTTTCAATTTGTTTATAAATTATGTCATGCAATTTTAAAATTCTTGAAGTAAGCTAGTATTTTGGTTCTAGTAACAATTCTTTTGAAGTCATATTCTCTGAAGAAGAGCACAAGTTTATGAATATGACAGTTCAAATTCCATTTTAGGAAGACATGAAGACATGTAAAAGATGATTTGGACCAAGGGAATAATAAGATTGAAAGTGGGTTTAGCACCATCAAATCCAAGCCTAAGAATTCGAATGAAACCCACTTAGACAGACTTCAAACCCAAATCCAAGGCTCAAATTCCATGCTGACAAACACAGAATCAGTTCTATTACCTCATCTAGCAATTCTTCACACTGCTAATCACTTACGTGTGTCATATTAGGGAAACTTTTTGTTAATGTACACCTAAACCTACTCCACTAAACCTAACCCACTACACCACTCCACCTCCACTTCACCTACTCCACTACACACTCCACTTCACCTACTCCACCACTCCACCTCCACTTCACATCTCCATCTCCTATATAATGTACACACAATACATCACAACAGACAACAATCAATAATACAATCATTTCTCTTTATACATTAAATTTCTACACTTTTCATTCAGCGGTTGGAGAAAAAAAAAAAGTTAAAAAAACAAGGAAGAAACAAAAAAGTAAGGTAAAGGACCTTTCAAGTTTCATGTTCAACACAGAAAAGGAAGGAAGCTATTTGTCATTTAAGCAAAAGCCTTGTTATAAGAAACAAATAGAAGGCATACGAAGTTCCTGACCTCAATAAGCTTGACATCAACACGATCTCCAATTTTGAATGCCTACAAGGACATAATTATGAAGAAGTTATTCTATCATCATTTCTATGCATTTATTTCAATAGCAAATAGTGTGCTTACATCTTCCGTCTTTTCCAGCCAATTTGCACTCAACTCGCTAATATGGCAAAGTCCCTGCAGCGAATTTGAAATATTGTGATTAATATGAAATTGTTTCTTTGTCCTTTCTTTACCAGCCTCTATGAGAGAACACTTCTGAAGATTAAAATTTTACATATAGATTTGAAGTACAATATGAGAATCATATATAGATAGAGGAAAGCAAAACCACCTTTTAAAAGTGTGGAGGTCTCCTATAGGAAATATGAATATACATCCCAGAGTGGTGTATTTGCTTACCAACATGCATTGGACACACACTGACGTGTTGTACATGCATCCACTAGTCTCTACATCGTGCAACTTTTTATTTTTCAACTTTTTAAAAGAATTTTATATTCATTTATTTTTAAAATGGTCACACTTGGGACACAAGGGACATAGTGTCGATAACTTCAATATGGGTGAGACCTACGGAGCATGGACACTTCAAAATAATTGCCATAACAGTGTTGGACGAGCATAGGACACAGACACAGCAGGGACGTGTGTCTGACATGCTACGTGGCGTGTCCATTTTTTTAATAATTTGAACTAGACAACGGCAAGTTACCACAAGGTTTTATTTATATTTTCCAAAGCTAATTTCGAAGGTCATATTACAATATTTGGAAACATGAGGGTTGAATTTAAAATATATATATATATATATATATAGAATTCATATCAAACCATTGACAACGTAACACAGATCTAACCATAGTTATGAAATTGAGAAATTGGCTTCTAATGATTCCTTGGGCCTTAACGCTGTAAGATTCCTGAAAGCTTTTCTGTATATTCAATTGCATCAATTACAATCAGACCTTAGAATATATATAGCCCTAACTCCTAAACCAAAAAGGAAATACAAATACAATACTATCATGACTCTAATACAATCATGTCTCTAATAGGACTCTAAGTTTCATTTGTAAGACCCACAATATATTTCACAATATATTCTCACACCCCCGCTCAAACTCAAGGTGTTTTAGTAGAAAACACGGAGAGTTTGCTAAGAAGAAACTAAAACCGAGTAGTAGTGTGAGTCTTGCTGAAGAAGTCCGCAAGTTGCAAAGCTGAAGGGATGAAAGGAAGCGAGATAGAGGCAGACTGCAGATGTTGGCGAACAAAGTGACAGTCAATCTCAATGTGTTTTGTCCGCTCATGGAAGACAGTATTGTGGGCAATCTGAACAGCACTACGGTTGTCACAATAGAGAGAGGTAGGAGAAGACTGAGAAACACCCAAATCAGACAAAAGACAACGAAGCCAAACAATCTCAGCAGCGGCATGAGCCATAGCACGATACTCAGCTTCGGCAGTAGAGCGGGCAACGACTGATTATTTCTTACTTTTCCAAGAGATCAAGGAATCACCAAGAAACATACAGAAACCAGACGTAGACTTGCGATCAGTAACATCACCAGCCTAATCAAAGTCAACATAGGCCACCAGGTCCAAAGAGGAAGTAGAGGACAATAGTAAGCCTTGAAATATGGTACCCCTGAGATAACGAAGAATGCGAACCAAAGCAGCCCAATAGGTAGAGCGAGGAGCAGAAACGAACTAACCACATGAACAGCATAAGCAAGATCAGGGCGAGTGACTGTCAGATAAACTAAACAACCCACAAGCTCGCGATATAAAGTAGGATCATCCAGAGGGACACCATTAGTAGAATTAAGCTTCACATTAAGTTCAATAGGTGTATCAGAAATTTTAGCATCGGTAAGACCAGCACGGTGAATGACTTCATTAGCATACTTAGCCTGAGACAGAAAATAACCTTTTGGAGAAGAAGCAACCTCAATACCAAGAAAATGCCGTAATGGACCCAGATCTTTCATTTCGAAGGTGCGGAAGAGATGCTGCTTGACCTCAGAGATAGCAGAAGAGTCAGAGCCAATGATGATCATATCATCCACATAGAGTAAGAGAGCAACAAAACCAGCCGATGTATGTCTTAGAAATAAAGCAGAGTCGGAAGCAGAACAATAAAACCCAAGCTCGGTAACAGCAGTCTGAAAGCGATCATACCAAGCAGGAGGAGGCTGCTTCAGACCATACAGAGCACGCCGAAGACGACAAACTTGGCCAAAGGAATGGGGAAGATCAGGAGGAGGACGCATGTAAACCTCCTCAATGAGATGGCCATTAAGAAAAGCATTCTTAACATCCATCTGATAAAGAGGCCAAGAACGAATAGCAGCGATAGAGATCAAAGTACGGATAGTAGTCATCTTGGCAACAGGTGCAAATGTTTCCTCATAATCAATACCATACTCCTGAGAGAAACCTTTGGCAACTAGACGAGCTTTGTAGCGCTCAAGAGACCCATCAGAATGAGTCTTGACTTTGTAGACCCATTTGCAACCAACCAAGTTTTTATCAGCAGGCAAAGGAACCAGCTCCCAAGTACTAGTTTTCTGTAGAGTAGACAACTCATCGTCCATAGCGTGAACCCAATGAGGGTCCTGACATGCCTCTTTGTAAGACTGAGGTTCTGAAAAAGAGTGAATAGCAGACAAAAAAGTACGATAGGAAGCAGAAAAACATGTATTAGACTAACCTAACCTGTTTGGAGGATGACGCGCTCAAGTAGGATATCGGTGTGCAGCAGGATCAGAGTTGGCAGCAGCAGGAGGATCAGCAGTAGGGTAAGAGACAACTGGTGGGGGAGGAGCCTTGCGACGAGAATAATCTAACAACGGAGGAGGAGAACAAATTGAAGGATGAGAAGTAGCCAGAGGTGAAGCAGGAGGAGAAGATGAAACAAGCTCATAAGGAACTGTGGAGATGTACTCATCAGACGGTACCTCAGAAGGAAATGGGTCAATGTGAACCAAATCCTCTTTGGAAACTGGAGCAGTGACAGGAGGAAGCTGAAAGTAAGGCAGACGCTCGAGAAAAGAAACATGACGGGAAACAGGGTCGTAACACCGATAGTCTTTCTGAGTAGGACTATAACCTAAAAAGACACAGAGGACAAACCGGACACTAAGTTTGGTCCTATCTTTGTGGGAAAGAAGGACAAAACAGGCAGACCCAAACACACGAAGGAGGGAGTAGTTAGGAAGTTGGGAGAACAAAGCCTCATAAGGAGACCGACCAGAAAGAATGGGAGTAGGCATGCGATTGAGAAGAAAAGCAATAGTAAGAACTGCCTCCACCCCAGAATGGAGCCGGAACTGAGGCAGAGAGAAGAAGAGGCCTAGCTGTCTCAAGAAGATGATGGTGCTTACGCTTAGCGCGACCATTTTGGGCAGGTGTATCTGTACAAGAAGTTTGGTGAATGGTACCCAAATTGTCCAGATACTCACAAAACTCAGTTTTAAAATATTCCCCACCCAAGTCAGACCGTAACACTTTAATAGTAGACCCAAACTGTGTAGTAATCATAGACTGAAAGGTACGGTATATCTGATAGAAATCGGACTTATGAGTCATAAGATAAACCCAAGTGTAACGGGTGCAGTCATCAACAAATGACACATAGTATGCAGAACCCCCTTTGGTGAGAACAGGAGAAGGGCCCCAAACATCAGTATGAACTAAAGAAAATGATATGTCAGATATAGAAGTGCTTTTACGAAAAGGTAAGGCTGTCATCTTGGCGAGTTTACACCCCTGACATTCAGTTAGTTCACTAGAAGAAACTTTTCCCAAGATACCTGATTGAGCCAAAGACCGTAAGCTGTAAGCAGACAAATGCCCTAATCTAGAATTCCACAAGTAGAAAGGACTGGACAGAGAATCTAACTGAAAAGAGGAAAAGGCAGTCGGAGAGGTTGTTAAAGGTAGATGCAAGCTCTCTACCATATAGAGGTCCCCAACTCTACGACCAGTCCCAATCTGCTGTTTAGACATCCGATCCTGCACAGAACAGATAGAAGAGGAAAAGATAACATTAAAACCAGAGGCGTCAAGTTGACTGACAGATAATAAACTGACAGATGATTGAGGAACATAAAGAACAGATGGAATAGAGACAGCAGACATAGCAGACGGTAGAACAGATCCAACAGATATAACAGACATACCAGACCCATTAGCAGCATTGACAGTAATAGGAAAAGGAGGAGGAGTGCAATTTTGAAGTAAGGAGAGATGTGGAGTCATATGATGAGAGGCACCAGAGTCAAAAAGCCAGACAGACGAAGAAATATCTGAAGAAGACCCAAGCAAACCTGAATGAAGAGGGGAAACAATGGAGGCAGACATAGATGGCTAGGAGGTACACAATGTATGTTGAAACTGACTAATCTGAGCAGTCAAGGAAGCTAAGTCAGGATCAGGAGCCGGAGCAGATACAGTAGAATCGGTGGAAGGCCGAACGGTACTCAGAGGAGGAGCGCAGAACTTAATCGGCAATTGCTGAGAAGACGAGACAAACACAGACAAAGCAGACAAACATCCCTGCTTGGGACAATGATACTTCCAATGACCACTTTGATGGTAGTAGGCACATTCATCCGAAGCCAGAGACATCATAATAACTAGAAAACTAAGGGGGTTCAAGTGTAATAAACCCTATATTTAACAAAATAGCCAAACCAGGGGTTGAAGGGTAATACACAGAAATCTGATGAGGGTAAAGCCAATAAATCCAAAACCATAGTGTAATAATCAGAAGAGTGTTAGGTCTGAATGTAAGATACAATTTTTTTTTTTTTTTTACCCTGACCCACAAATATTAACTAGAGTTTTGAAGCCGAAAGAACTAGTCTGAAGCCGAGAGAACCAAATCAGAGAAGAGAGAGAGAGATTGAAGCCGAAGTCAAGGAGGAGGGAGGTTGCGTCAACGAGAGGAGTTGCGAACCAGATGGGTTGTGATTCAATTTGTGTATTCGAGAACCAAATTTGATCAAGGGAGAAGATGACCCACAACTCACACAGAGACTGAAGAGGAAGATAATTTCTAGGGTTCTAGTGGTGGCTCTGATACCATGTAAGATTCCTGAAAGCTTTTCTGTATATTCAATTGTATCGATTACAATCAAACCTTAGAATATATATAGCCCTAACTCCTAAACCAAAAAGGAAATACAAATACAATACTATCATGACTCTAATACAATCATGTCTCTAATAGGACTCTAAGTTTCATTTGTAAGACTCACAATATATTTCACAATATATTCTCACAAACGCAACACAAATCAAGTCTTTAGCTGATTCAAATTTAGTGTCTTTTCACGTTAAATTAATGTTGATTTTCATTAATTTTGGTTGTTAATGGATGTAATATTTATGTACATAGAAAATAAAAATATATAAAAATATTTTTTTACTGCATCCCCGCCATGTTCATGTCTCAATATATATTTATATACATTTTTTAAATCGCACTGTCCATGAGGGGAGAATTAGACCAAAAGGAGCCTCTCCTCCAACTTGTCTCAAAACATGAAAAGAACTTGATGAGACCACTTTAAATAACTAAGTCGAGAGTATGCCGAAACCACCTAATTTCTCTCTCTCAATTCTATAGAGATCTTTCCACTTAGAGTCAGCAAAGCAAATGTCTTATGTGTAATAACATTTCTACCAAACGAGAAATTTTCTCAGCCTAGTTCTTGCCTCAAATTTTAAACAACTATCTATTAAGTTCCTCAGAATTTTTACTATTGAAAACCCTAAACTCTAACAAGTTCCTCTTTGTTTTCATGTTAGTACTTGAGGCTTTTAAAATGGACAAGGGGGCCTTCTGCTCCAACATCTTTTACAACATGTAAATGTAAAAAAATGAACAATTACTTCTGATTTTATGTACGCACACACACACATATGTATATATGTCTCTACGTCCCCTCCTTGTCCACATGACCCTATAGTGTCGCATCTACGTCCATGGTCCTTTACAATGTGTCTTAGGGTCTCATCATGTTAAAGTTTAACAATTGGAATCTTAACTGCAGAAAATTCTCAAGAAATCACAAAAATATATAGAAAAACAAATATATTAAGGATTTCGACATAGTGCAATTGGGATGAAGTTATATACCTCACGTCCAGGTGCTATCTCAACAAAAACTCCGTAAGGAGCTAGTGATTTGATCTCACAGTTCCTGATTTAAAAGACATCAAAGAGATAAGATAAACATCTTAACTTAGAAGATCAAAATGCAACTAGTACATCAAAATAACATATAGTTCATAGGGAAAAGATGTTGATAAGAATCAGTAAAGAGTCTCGTAAATCTAATTACAAACCACTTCTGGGGGCAACAAAAAATGTCAGTCTATCTTTAGATTCAGCATGCATAGAAATAGTTCTTTTCCTGATGGACACAAGAATTTGGTATAAAAATGCTCAAGAGAAATTGGCACACTCTTTTTTAGACGGGGATTCATTGAGGACAGCAATTTGAGCCAATATTTTTTTTGTTGATACACATCAAAACAAGAGAAAAGGGGAGAGGGAGTGAGGACCTATAGGTATCACCAACAGTTGGAACCATTGTCAGACCGCTGATAATGGATTTAGATTTCTCTAGGCTTAATAGATCCCTTGCAGTAATTTTCACCTGAAAAACCCACAGATGTATAAAATCACAGTAATGATACAGTCACATCAAACAAAAAATTGAAGATGAGCTCCTCATCTTTTCTTACTATTCCATCATCATGTGTGTCAATAGCTTCTACCCCAGTTTCTTCGATAATACTCTTCACCTTCTTTCCACCAGAACCAATAATAAGGTTGATTTTCTCTGGCTTGACCTATAAATGACCAATGCAAAGGCAACAAGCAAATAATTATCAACTGTAACATGTGACACAATGAAGTGGGTATCTGGAAGCTTAACAAACCTTCATAACATGAATCAGTGGAGCATATTTAGAAAGCCTTTTTGAAGGAGCAGGTGAGCAGTTCGACATCTCACCTGAATTAATAAAAAGGAGAGAAGAGTAAGCAATTTACTCTTATATTGGAATGACCAAATAAAACATTATACAATTCCTCGACATAAAATGATATCTGAATCTCCCCTCATATCATGGATTCCATGGTATCCTAAATGCCAGGGAAGGGACTAACACAATGCACAAGACGATTTGACTATATTCATAGATGTATGAGTACGCATAAACAAGAGCATAGAAGTGCATCAATGCTGACCAGCCAAAATCTAAAAACAAAACTCATTAAAACAATACCAGAAATATAAATATCAAATATTACATAAAGGTCAGAAAGTGAAAATTTGGGTATCAGAGAAGAAAAGTTGACCCACTATTTCACTGATAGTCCAAATAACACTAGAAACATACATGTATTCTGCAGTGTAACAATGATCAAAACAATGCCGAAAGTAATATCTTCATAGTAAAACATAAATAAAGATGAACCGGCAGTATGAATGCAATTCCAGGGGTTTGGTTAGGCTAGGAGTCTGTCCGAGCCTAGGCCAAGTTGGACAGCAGTTTGCACAAGCCTACCAGACCTGACCCACAAGCCTGAGCTAGCCAGCCCAAACTAATTGAGTTTGGGTTTTGCTCAAGTTGCCTCAAATGATCAAGCTTGGTTGGATTTTTTCCAGCTTTGTTCAGGTTTTTCTTAAATGCATTTGTTCAGGTTTTGCTTAAATGCATTTGTTCAGCCCAGGTGTAAGGTCATTTATAGTGCCATAAAGTCCATTTGTCATTTTCAAATATCTGTTCAACATAACATTTTCTTTGTGTTGATGAACATCTATAATGCTTAAGCCAAAAAAAAAAGAAAAAGAAGAAGAAGAAGAAGAAGAAGAAGATATCTACATTGCCAAGAATGGAAAAGAAGAAGAAGAGGAAGGAATCAAAAGATTATACAAAACCCAGTACCAAAAACTAAAAGGTTTAATCTGCTCTATGTGAACCCAGTGGATGAAGGGGAAGCTACTTTCTATAGACAACAAGAAAAAGAAAAAAAAAACAGAAACTTTGAATGATGATTGCAAATAACAACCTGCTATTACAGGTACACTGAAATTTTTAAAAGAAGGCCAGTAGCGTGATTTGTAAGCCCATTTAGCCAAAACTTCAAAATGCCATGCTTAAAAAATATATATTGCAGGGATTAGATTCCTTTTGAACTTTTTCATTTTTTATTTTTTTCATTTTTGTTCTTCATTTTTAGACTTATATCCACATTTTGGATATAGACACATGCAATGAAAGACCAGTTCACACACAGACAAATATAGACCTATTTTTATATATGTGTGTTTATATTTGTTATCAGAGGGTTCAGATCGCATGCTCTTGGCACAAGCATAGGATGAGTGCTATGGGAACAAAGAAATTGCCGCTGAGCTGTGGTGGTGTGATTGGAGGTTTCAGGCAAGTAGACAACTGAAAGAGATGATGAGGACAAGAACTGCTTGCGCGCGTGCACACACACACATGCACAGGGGTAACGCTAGAGTTGACAACTAGGGTTGTGATTAGAATCTTCATATTTAATCTCATTGGTATTGGTAAAATATAATGAGTTGGTAAAGAATACCAAACTTTTGCTTCTGTTAATCCAATGACTCAAAATATAAGTTATAAATTATTTTATAATATCTAAATACATCAAATACCCAAAAACAGAAAAAGAAAAAGAAAGTCAAGCTCTAGTCCAGGCCCAACCCAACCTTAACTCGTTCTGAACAAAAGCAGCCCAGGCCTGGAACAAGGACAAAAACCATGCCCATGCCAAAAATAAAAAGTAAAAAAAATCTCAGGTTGTTCTAGTTCAACCAGCCCAACATGCAGCCATACCCAACAGCATAATACCATAAATAATATTTATTCAACCTAGAGAACCACCATACGAAAGAAAATGCTTACATCGCACAAAACACAATGTATGCCCTACAAGCACCACACTTTGAACTTTTATACACTTCATGTAGAACGTTATATATCTAAATAACTGAACCATGGCCATTATCATAAAAAAGAAAATCACTCTAATTATTTCTTTGAAGCACACCAATATTTCTGAAGTGTTATACAAACAAGGTTGTCCCCATGAATGTTGATCATAAATTATGGTACTGATGTATTTTACCAAGAACGTGCTTGCGGCCATCTTTTGCTTGTAGGAGCGCCTGCTTCATAATTGGCAAAGTAATTCCTACTACCTGTCATTGAAGAATGTGTTACGTTGAGTGTAGTTACCCATTGTATATCTGACTGATGGCCAAGAAACACTACATAGTACACTGCCTTCAATGAAACCATGAAAGTCATTGTGGAAGTTATGAATAGCAGACCAGTGGCCAAGAAACACAAAACAGTAAACTGTCTTCAATGAAAACAACGCAGTCATTTGGGAGAAAGGAAAGACAAGAAGATGAGAGCACACACACACACATTACTCATATTAAAGGAACTCATACTACTGAAATGTAAGTGATGTATGACCTTTATGTCCATTTGAAACGCGGTTATACCATCTTCATTTCCAGCAACCTGCACCATTAAAATCACTAATCTAATTATTTACCATGCCTTCGGATTCTAAATTATGGCATACTTGTACTTGTGTAGCTCCTCAAGATTTTTTCACATGTAACAAGAAAATTAAATTGAAAACCAACTGAACACATTGTAATGGTAAATATAAAAGAAATTCAAACGGCAATACCTTAAAATCCATGTCCCCAGATGCATCTTCAGATCCAGTTATGTCAGAAAGAATAAGTGGGGTTCCATCCCCCCCAAATTCCTGAGTGTCCAAAACCAAACCCATTGCTATACCAGCAATAGAGCACTTCACTGGGACCCCAGCATCTTGCAAGGCTAAGCATGCACCACAAACAGAGGCCATACTGACAGACAATACTACTTGATGTTAAGATGTAAAAGATCAAAACTAAATGACTTGATAGAAGTTCTTAAGAAAATAATATTGTGATCCGAAAGATAACAATGATCATGAACATTGTTTCCAACTTTTCTAAGGTATTCAAGAACAAATTCTTAAAAGATTAACAGCAGAATGTTGTGAGGCTAAGCCTCTCCGACAAACAAAGATTTGTACCACTACACAATAATACTCAATGTTAAGATGCAAATTGTTTCGTTTGGCGGATTTGGAGTGGGTGGCTCCTTCCTTTAGGATATAGGTGTTGATGAACTTTAGGGGCTTTGGACCTAATAAGAAAGTTCGAGCTCTTTGGGTTTGTACTAGTTTTGTTATATTTCGAAAAATTTGTTGGAAAGGAAAGCAAGGATTTTATGAAATAGTTAGGGACTTAGAGGAATTATGGGAGAAGATTTGACATTTATCTTCCTTTTGGGCTTCAATATCGTTTCCTTTTAATAGGATTCCTCTCTTCTTGATTATAGGGATTGGAGGGCTGTGTGTGAGTTGTAATTTGTTCTTTTTACTTTCTTTTTTGTATGTTTGTAGTATTTCTTGTCCTCCATCTCCCCTTGTACTTCCTTTTTTAATTTATAAATTGTTACTTTTGTTGCTTATCTATATATAATATGTAAGTGGCATATAATGGGTTATAATGATGTTTGTAATATCTCCTATATAAGGAGTGTCATTTGGTCTTGTAAAATAAGAAGTTTTGAATATAACAGAAATATATTCCTTCTTCCTCATATTTTCGGAGTTTTTCTTCCTCATATTTTCTAAGTCTTTTGTTGCTTATCTAAAACAAAAAGATAGAAAGAAAAAGTATTGCATGCAGAAGGATTTACAATAGGTAAATGATGAACATGCTTTAAGTTTTGCATTTTGTTCATGAACACAAAATTAATGGAAATCCTTTTCCTTTGTATTCATTAAAGATAACCTCCTCACCTCGAAGAGCCATTGCTTTCAGTGATGGTACTCTCAACACGTATAGTGTAAGGGAAATCATCCTCAGAAGGAAAAATAGGTTCAAGAGCTCTCTCCGCAAGCATTCCATGACCAATTTCTCTTCTACTGGGTGCTCCCATTCGCCCAACTTCCCCAACACATGATGGAGGAAATGTGTACTGAAAAATTAAACCAGAGTGGCTCAAGCAGTTAGGTACTTTCTAAAAGCTTCCATGAATAAGCTAAAATATCAAATTTGTAAATAAGATATGGATCTATAGTTAGAAAAGTCATGAAATAGGGAATCAGATTATCTGAATAGTTTCCAATCAAGTTATTGCAATTCACTCACTCATAAAAATGACAAATACACTCAGATGAGAGTGTAAAGAATGGTATCACTGTACAGGGCTAGATTGGTAACACACTTGCAAGTGTACTTGTAAATCTAGTTAGTAAGCATAGCATAAAAACTGACAATGAAGCACATAAAATACTTTTCCTGAAAACAGCCAAAAAAGAGTTGCAGTCCCAACACTCCCTAACAAATCAAAGCTCAAATTACAAGTATGTATACTAATGTTTCTATTTAGGGGTGGACATTTTTTGTTGAGCCTTTTTGTGTTTGTTATCCAACCTAATTTATGCCAAAAAAAAAAAAAAATTGCGTTTCATATATGGAAACAGGAAATTCAGTAGTTCAAATTTATAAATAAGGCTCTTGAAGTGTGGGTACTTTAACAAACATGTTGTACCCATACTAGGTACTGGTACTTTGCATGGTTGATTCAGAACATGCGTTCAGACATGGAGATTTTTATTTACTATTAAAATTTTATGTCATTAGTATTTTATTTGTTTTCTTTCAAATTTTAATTAGGAGTTTTAGAAGGGATATTTAGTGACAGATCCCTTGCAATAAAGTTTTCATGCGTAAAGGACATGAGTGATTAAATAAGGTAGCACTTTTGGGATCAACAGGAGGAGGAGAACAAGATGATGAAAGAAGAGACCAAGAAGCATCTAAACATCCACGCTTCCACCTTTGCAAGGATTAAGCACCATCACATAAACACAAACTCAAAGTTCTCACAACTCATCTTTATCCATCAGATAGCTATTTATAGGCTGTTATAGTTACCTAAACCCACTAGGCTAAGACCACAAAAGTTAGAAACTTTTGCTCTGTAACTACTAAGATTATCCTAAGCCTAGTAAAAACATACAATAACCCAATCAGATGACCTAGAATAAGCCATGGACCCATTCTACAATCTATGTCCAACAAATCTTGTAATTACCAACATTTCCTTAGCCTAAACCCTAAACCCTAGTTCAAATTATGCTCCATGTGAAATTTTAAATTTTCCCCTTAACTTGAAATCATGCTCTTTATTAGTCTGCGAGAAACAATCCCATGGCCCAATCTGAACTGGATGCAACAGGCTTTTTGAAGGGCAAGGGTATCCATCCAGTAGCACATGATCCATTAACCCTACTCCTAACTCACCAAACATTCTAGTTATGCAAATCAAAGTTAACATGTATGACTACAGTTTCAACTCAGAATATCATTTTGTAGATTCTCCTAACCAAAATTTGTCCAACAGTGCCAAAATGTAGCATCGGCGTTACAATTAATTAATCATAAGTTATATAGCCTTGCAACCATTTCCACACAAATAAATTCTAACAGGGGGCGAATTAGTTGCTGAAAGAGAAGGCACTGTTATGATGTTATGATAATATAAACAGTTCACAAAATAAGTGTACTTAAATAATTGCAAATTCACTCAAAAAATTATTACCAAGCATAATATATTAGTAAGCACATAATTGCAAGCACCTGAAGATAAAATCTCTTAAATTCATCTGCACCTTCAAGGTTGTCTATTCTTTGTGCCATTTGTTTATCCCCAAGTGTAACAACTGCAAGTGACTGGAAAACAGAAAATTCGGAAAAACAGAAGTACAGAAATGGTCAATAACATTTCATATGCATTCAAACTGAACTTCTGGACATTAAACTGAATACACAGGCTTAAAACCAAAACAAAACAGGAGATCAGCCACACAAGTGTTTTTGGGTCAATTATTTCTCTTTTAATCATTATCCCTAGTGAACTCATATCTGGGTGCTGTCCTTTTGCGTATTACTAAAACAAGCAAAGAGGTAGACATCCAAACTGTTGACACCCAGCATCATTACAGTTGTTGTCCAAATGAAAATAGACATAACTAAGACATTCCACAAATATACACAAAGATCTATGACAGTAGTTATGATTGATCACCAAGAGATAATTAAAGAAAAACCTTGAGAGTTGCAATGTAGTTATTATGGAGGGAAGGAAACCAAGTGACTCCCATGGGACTAAAGTTAATCCATAAGCTTATCATGTGGCATTGAAACAGTTTAGTGACAAACACAGTAGTGAATGCTTGAAATTGAACATACAAGTACTACAGACTAGTTTAATAGATTAAAACATTGGGCAGTCAAGAACGATCACAAGATTGGAGGAAGGAAACCATCAAAGGATGCTGAAGTGTATGGTTGGGAACCAAGGTAAAAGAAAAATCCAATGGAAGCCCGAAAAAGATACTGAAATAACCCAGGTATGAAAATAGAGTCACTTTAGATAGTCTAAGCCAAATGATATTTGCAATTGGAGTGAAGCAATTAAGAATGCATGCTCAAATATTTTCAAGGAAAATATGATAGAGAGATCACTAGCTGATTATGAAAAGAGGTGAAAGGCATATGTTTTATACAGTAAATTACACTTTAACAAACCTGAGTTTCCCCACGCGTGAAAAGAGCACTTCCATGTGCTCTAGGAAGTAATCCACACTGTGAGTTAATCAAGCGTATATCAAATGGGGTTCGCCCATCACTTCTTTTGCCTCCCTGAACAACCACAACAGAAATAAAATATAAGAATCACCATGCTTACATCATCATATCATTAAGGTTTTTTCTGGCAGATGGACCTCAAAACCAAGAAATCCACCCATGTAATTAGGCATATTTTTGCTAACTAACCTTGATGATTAATCAAGCTATGCAGTTGCATATAATAAATCAGGAATCTTAATTAGGCTTGCAGAAAGTTATGACTGTAAGAAATTTTATTAGTCAACTGTTCAGAAGTGAGGAACCCACATACACAACACTCTCTCATACATTTTAATACCGAAATACAGAGACTGAATCCTAGCAGTTAACAAGGAAACTTTCCTGTTAAATCCACAAAGTATAGGAACACTTGCATATGCTTAACAGTGAGATTTAAAAAGTAAGGAAGTATCACTGAATGGCATTTGAGGACCATAAATAACTGAGAATGATATTTTTTCAAAATCATAAACATATGTGTATATAGAGATGTGATATAACTATTTCCCAATTAATGAACATCCATACCTCCACAATACGTTTGCGCAGGAATTTAGATGTAACTTCTTTGAACACCAGCTTCACATCTACCTCGGAGAATAGCTAGATGAGGAAAACAGTAGATGAGTCAAGGGTCTGACTCATGATTTTTAAACCATAAATCATCAATGAAATAACTTAGAATTTGAGCCTTAGGTCTTTAACTCATCAATCCAGAAAAACAAAATCAAATAAAATATATGCTTACTCAATGAAATGGAAACGAATCGATAATCAGCAACATATAGCTGACTCTTAATCCAATCAAGCACGTGTAATTGTATAAACATGAATGTAAATAGACAAGATGTGATTAGACAATGGTTCTGCAATCAGCAGAACATGGTTTCTGAATATTTAAGTGTGCAAGATGTATCCCAGCTTTGAAATGAATTTCACAAATTATTAATTGCAGAGAGAGAGAGAGAGGATACACATTCACTTCAAAAATCATTATAATTGATGATTTTTTTTTTTAAAAAAAAAACCCTGATATTCTTAAATTATACATAAAATTAACTACATAGACATCAATTGTAGTCCACAATTACCAATGTTGGTCTGAGCTCAGCATATGGTTAGCTCTAAGGAAAACTAAACCGTATTAAAAGTTATACTCAACCATTCATTTCCAGGAGCATATTTCTCATGTTTGTCAAAGGCTCCACCTCATTACAAATGGTTTCATCAATCTGTGTTTTGAGGATCTAAAAAAACATGATTTTAGAAAAGAAGACTCGATGAAGCTTTTCCAACAAACTAAACTAATGACAATTTTATTTTCTAACTGTGGAAATATTTGTACAAGATGAAACTCTTCTCTTGGAACACACGTGCACATTAATGGAATGAAGGTGAAGCCTAAAAGAATGATGGTAAGTTGGTTCGAAACAAACTGACGCTGGAGACCCAATAGAAGATGTGGGCCTCCATAGAGCTAAATGGTCCAAAAAGGATTCATGCAGCTAAGACCAAGTAGTCATGAATCTAAGCCATTTATTAGTTGAGGTCAGCCATGTCCAAAAAATTGTCATATCTAACATGCAATGGCCAAACATAGTATGAATAGCTCAGTACATCCCACAATTTATATTGTCCAGTGGAATGGAGGTGAATCCTTGACTTAAATCATTCAGAGAAAGAGACGATGTGCTTATTAAACAATAGAGAGGGAGAAAGAAGAAAATCTGAAGCTGCACACAAGCTCCACTTTCAATCATATTCTGATACAATTAGTCAAATTTATGAATCTTGTAGTCGCATAAAGACCAATGTGACCTATAGGGGCCCTCAAACACATTTCAATGTTCCCAAAGAAAGAAATAACCACCCGCATGGAACCAGTCTCAACTAAATGCAGCTTTCATGCATTAGAGGTTATCAAAATTTGCAAAAACCACAAAATTAAATAACCTAGCAGAGCAGATTCGAAGAATAGAAAGGAGCATGTTAGTGAGCACAGGCGTAAGAAAAAGGAGAAGAACATATTCAGCTGTCCTAGATGCAAATGCATGTATAAGCACATATCAGTGCAAATATATGACAAAAAAGAGTTGAACTTTACCAAGGGAGTAGATTTTCGTGAAACTGGTTTTATGTGAACATCGCCTTCATCCACTTCACCATCCACAACCACTTCTTCATCCTCTTCATCATCCTCAAACAAGTCTGGTACGGTATCAGGAGCCCCAAAAGCCTCATCCTTACTAACATAACCTTTCTCAGTAAATATAGTTAAAACTCTCTCTTCCAATGATGAGAGAGCCTTTCTTCTTGGTATTTTGTTCTTAATTTGTAGTACTTCAACTAATTCATCACCAGCAATTTCCTGTATATGATAAATAATTTATATACGAAGAGATATAGAGATTGTGATTATATGAATAGGTAACAATTTTCATAGTATGCAATGTATATTGAAATAATTAAAATGAGTATACACAGCTTGAATCATAGGATATGCCATAAATTTTTGACGAATGGCTTATTGCAAAGACATAAAGGTCATGACCCAAAACGATGAAAAGTGTAATCCCTCCCAGCTTTATGGCTCGTCTTTGACTCACAGGAATCAGTCTCTCCACACAAAAAGTTGGGGGAAGGCCGTCTACCCATTACCTCTCCCGGAACATGCTGTAAGTGGGAAATCTTCAGCACTAGGTATGACCTTTACTTATAGCTTAGACATCATAAACTACATTCTTGACTTAAATCCTTCTAATTGTTTGTACAGATCCATGTTACATGGACTCAGGTACGAGTATTGGCTGTGGGTGAGTATCTAGAAGTCGGATCCATCAAACATCAAATTTAAGAGTATGTGGACTTGACAAAAAGGGTCATATGTTCATATATTTAATTTATTATCTTAGATAAAATAGTGTTATATGTAACGTATAGTGTGAAACAAGCACTTTACTTATTTTATAGCAATTATAGAACAATATATGCATATCATGATAGTTTTTAGGGCCAGCCCCTAGGGGAGCCAAGAAGGCGACTGGCTTGGGCCCCGAATTTTGACAAAATTTAGGCCCCCCAAATAATTTTAGTCCTTATAGTATTAGTATATCCGAAAATAAGACTTAATCCAACTTATCTAACTCCACAATCCAAATCAAAAAGCAATTTATTTATTTTTTTTGTTTGGATAGTCCAACCACAATAAAAATACATATCTAATAATCCAACAACCAACCCAACAAATAACTTCATAATGGAAAGAAATCAATAACACAACAACCTAATAACCAACATAACAAAGAGCCCCCATATTAGTAGACAAGGAGTGATCCCTAACCTTCTAGTTAAGAGTATACAAAAGTCGCTAACTAATTACCAAAAAGCAAATTGAAGTAGTAAATTATTTGAAAGAAATGGAAGTTTCTTTTCCAAATGCATAGATTGTATATAGAATATTGTTAACTATGCTAGTTATTAGTCCTTATAGTATTAGTATATCCGAAAATAAGACTTAATCCAACTTATCTAACTCCACAATCCAAATCAAAAAGCAATTTATTTATTTTTTTTGTTTGGATAGTCCAACCACAATAAAAATACATATCTAATAATCCAACAACCAACCCAACAAATAACTTCATAATGGAAAGAAATCAATAACACAACAACCTAATAACCAACATAACAAAGAGCCCCCATATTAGTAGGCAAGGAGTGATCCCTAACCTTCTAGTTAAGAGTATACAAAAGTCGCTAACTAACTACCAAAAAGCAAATTGAAGTAGTAAATTATTTGAAAGAAATGGAAGTTTCTTTTCCAAATGCATAGATTGCATATAGAATATTGTTAACTATACTAGTTATAGATGCTTTAGCATTTTTTTTTTTTTGGCTTAAGTTAAAGTTGGTTAAATCTTACTTCAATCAACCAGGTTACAAAAAAGCACCATTTAAAAAAAAAAAAAAAAATGTTACAAAAAAGATTAAACAAATTAGTTATATTATCTATTGAAAATGATATAGTAGATAAGCTAGATTATGCAACCTTGATTAGTAATTTTACAAAAAGTAATATTCAAACTGATACCGTTGGTTCAATACTTCGTATCATGTTAAAAATATTTTATTTGATATTATAACTTTAAATTTTGTTTAATATTTTTTTTCTTATTGTAAACTGAATTTTACTAAACTATAAAACAGCACCACAAATGTTTTCATCTTTTCGAGGTTTTTGTAATAATTTTATGTCTTGATGTTTGTAACTAAATTTTATTCTATCAATTTAGTGATTATACATACAAATAGACTTTGTATGGGTACTAGCAAATATATCCACAATTTTTGTTGTTGTTGTGATTATGCATGAAGGGGCCCATTTTAATTGTTTGTCTAGGGCCTCATCACTAAATCTTTCTGCCATTTTGTGAATAAAAATTTTGTTGTTCTACACATTAATATGACAATTAATTTTTTTGCTAAGCACCTAGTTTGTGTACTCCAAAATTCATCCATATACACATTTAAACATCTACAAACAAAATACATGATGGTTCCAAACATATGACTATATGTATGTGTGTATTTATTTTACATGTACATATTATTGATTTATGTATAAACAAGGACTTAACAACAGAAACACACGTAAGTACTTTGACCTAGGACACGAGCATGTATTTACACACATACCATGACCTGATCAAGTGCAATACAGGCTTAGGCCCCGTTTGTCTCCAAAAGAAAATAAAAAAAAAATCACCTGAGAACATTATGACCTTTTATAAGGAATAGTACTCAGTACAACAAGAAAATAAAAGAAAAAAAAGTAAAAAAAAAAAAGATGGTGCCACAAATATTATTCTAGATGAAAACACTAACAGTGTGAAAGTAATGGCCAGGCTTTATAAATTTGAAATAGCATTTTCTAGGTACAACAGTAAGCCTGCAAAATAAATAAAAAAAACAAAGAAAAAGAAAATGGAAAAAACAAAAAGAAAAAGAAAATGGAGTAAGCCTGCAAAATAACCAAGAACAAAGAAAAAAGAAAAGGAAGTGAAATAGTAATTCATAACTAATGCCAATTGGATTAATCAACGCTGTCTACTAAGGTGCATCAGTAAACGTGAATCAGACTAAGTTTGTCTCAGACACAAAATTTCAATATCCCACTCCAATGTCACAAATAGGATTATTTGGATGCTAACATACAAGAGTATAGAAGCACATGACATAATAATATGCCTTTTGACTGTATGCATTGCATTGTCAGGGAAACAAGTTGATGAAGGAAGCAATCCCCAGATGCACAAAGTAATGTATGTCCCACCAACTGGTCCCAATGTAGAAGCAGCCTGGTGATGGTAGGAGACCAGTATTCCAAGTATCCAGTGTTTTGTCACTGGTTTTTCCAAATACTTCCCTTAATTGGGATTAGTTGAGTGTTATTTAGACTTTGGAAGGTGTTTGCTAGGAATTTGTAAATCTGGAACTGGAAGGTTTGGTTGTGGTTAACTTTAACTTGGTTGTAGCTTTTAAATCTTGCAGTTAACAGTTAACTCACAGTATTCATAGTTATAAGCATTACAGGTTGCATCAGACAGCTTAAATTCTAATCTGATTTAATGATTACATAAAAATGAAAACAAGGGTTCAGATTTCCAAGAGAGAATACAATTGATTGAAGTTTGAAGAAAGTAAAATCAAAACAAAGATTTATTAATTTTGTTCAATATAATTGAATAAAGAATACATACTTCAACATGCCTATAGAGCTCAGGTGGCGGTAATTTGATTGCATCAACCATTTTTGGTTTCCCACAGCTCTTTACCAAAGCATCCACTTCATTACATATTGCCCGTACCGCATCCTGGTAATTATTGAAGACAGAAGTTACACACCTATGAAGATTTCTTGCTCTTTACATGGATATTTGCAAGAACAATTGTGAATCAAAACACTGCCTTTCCAAGTATGGCCACGCATGTTGGAAAATATTATAATTCAAAACACCAAAAATTCCTCTAACAGAATTATGACTGGTGAATCATGAGAGGGACTATATTTTTGTATCCAAATGAGCATCTATTCTTCAGAATTCTCACTCCTAACAATTACGTAACAAACAAAGATAAAAGAAAATAATATAAATTCCAAAGAATAATGCATTCAATCACTGATATTTTACATCAGAGGAGGAAATTAATAAAATGATTGACCAAATCATCAATGATAAATAAACATAACAGCACAACCGTACCAGTTAAAAAATGATTTTTTTGGCCAATAAAATCAGCCTGTATTGTTTTTGACGTGCAACACAGAAATATCCTTTTGAAATAATGTATTAATGAGCTGATTTATTCACACGCATGCACATGAAGAACAAGATTACAAACCATGTAAAGCACTGGCAAACTATACAATCGACCTCCCCAAAAATATAACTATTGCATTCAAATAAAATAATGAAAAATTAAACAAGAGATCCCAAAATGAATCAAGGTGATCTCAGGTCAAACAGTTAAGTAAATGACTTTGTTAAAACCATATAATATCACTCAAAAACAAGATACTTCAACAGGATATAGTCTACACTCGACATGTAAATTTTAAATAGTTGGTGATTATGACATGTTGCATATCAACCTGAACCGGAAAAGGCACCAGATGACAGTCCAAGACTCCGACTATCAGTCTGCCTCAGTAAAAATGATAAAAGCATACCAATTATATGCATATATATACACATAGAAAGGTTTTTAAATGAATAATATCTCATAAAATCAAGGTCAAACAAGTTTATGGTTAGACTTATATTTTTAACCAAGGTAATTCATGTAAATTTCCTAAACAAATTGCATTAGGTAAAAATTAAGGTGGTCTGAGTGTAATAACTGAACACTTTTGTTGGAGGTAGGCAAATTCTTGATTAGAATGCCCTGCATCATGGCATTAGATATTTCAACTAAAAATTAATACATTTGACTATTTTAATTCATTACACATTCACCATGAAGCAACACATTCCACATGAAGATAAACCAAAAAAAAATTCTAAATTCCCAAGAGCAATCCTTACACCTAATGCATTGTGTTGTGTTTGATAGTTGCTACATGCTAAGTTTTTTTCAAGGATTTTGTTGACGTATGCCCTTAGGGCACAACATATTAAGAAGCTTAAAATCATTGTACACTTTGCATGAAAGTGCATGTAATAAAAAATGTATAATATTTTAAAGCATTCTTAACATGTTCCCTAAGGGCACACGTTAACCAAACCCTTTTTTTAATAAATTGTATTTTTTTTTAAAAGGCACAAAGACGGTGCCAGTAGTCTACAAAGCAGGAAAACTAAACAAAACAATTCACCTATACATCAAATCTACTAACAAACCTCTACAAAAGTCTAAATTGGTTCAAATCAAAGAGGGATTAGTTCCACCTAAGAAACAACTAACCAAATACCCAAATATTCCACTATTAAACTAAAAATAGGAGTGCCTAAGCCATCAAAAGTCCTATTACCTTCTCTCCAAATAATCCACATCAATGTCAAAGGCTCCATGCACCAATCTTCTTCTTTCTCTTACCTGCTCTAGCTTCACTTCAAGAATGCATAAACTCTAACACGCTTGATTGGAAGACCCAATCTATTCCAATGAATGAGTAGATGGTCCACTATTTACCCATCTTACCATGTGTCACTGTCCAAACAAATTCATGCAGCATTTGTTTCCCAATAACACATTTACCCGTTTTCATCATTTTCAAACTCGGATTGCTACAAAATGTATGATAGAAACAATGACCTTTCAGTTAAATAATCTAGGGATGCTCTCCAAGATCTCAAGTGATGGAGGTTGAGTATTCAAAACAGGGATCAAAGGAGCTAGGAGTAGTTCTACTGAACCCCAAAAAGCCTTATTATATCATGATGTGTGTTTTTATTGCAGTCAATTCCTTAATAAATACTAAGGCCCCTCCTAACATTGCTTTTTTTTTTGCATGGACAACACACTTGAGGCTATTTTGACTATTGACAATCTCTGAAGGAGAGAAGTGATTATTATTGATTGGTGTTGCATGTGTAATTAGTCTGGGGAATCAGTGCACCATCTCCTTCTCCATTGCTCAGTGGCTAGAGAGGTGTGAAATTTTTTGTTATCGACTTTTGGTGTATCTTAGGTTATGCCTGAGTCAGTGAAGGATCTTTCTGTCTCTTGGAGTGCCGGTGGTCCCATGAAGCCATTGAGAAAGGCATGGCAAACAGCGACATTATATGTTAAGTGCAAGGTGCAGAGGGAGCGCAATAGGAGATCGTTCGATGGGGTTGAGATCCCGATAAGAACTTTAAAAGGATTTGTAATCTTCTAATGCTTTTTTGGTTGTGACTTTGCTATTGATTCTTTTGTTCAGTTTATTGGTGATCTTTAAATGCCTCTAGCTGTAAAGTTTTTTTCTATTTGTATAGGGTTTGCCCCCTTTATGGCAGTTTTGATTAATTAAACAACTTACCAAAAATATATATATATATATATAAACAAACCAATATTTCATGCAAATATGCATATATAGACTTGTGCAATACGGAGTCACATACATGAATGCCTACTAGTGTTGTAGTAAAGTGATGTAGCACTAGTAGTGAACCTAAAACTAATGTTCAGCAGCAGTCAAAGCAGACTTTGTTGGATGATTTTTAATTGATCTTTGTGGCTGAAAGGTTGATAAAAATATAGGGAATTTAAGGTTTGCATGTGTTATGTGGTAACAAAAGGGTAGAGTTTGGAGAATGAAAAAACAAGTTTATAGGGGCTGTTTGGGGGCTGTTATGGGCACTGTATTAAAAGTAATTTTGTTGGCGTAGTGTTTTTTTGGGTGCAAAATAGGGTGTTATTGTTAAGGAACTGTGATGTTATAGATTTGGTTTTGTGGTTTTGGAGGCTACAAGTGTAGAACAGTTTATAATTGAAAAAGAAGGGAGAAGAAGAAGAAATCTAGGCATCGCACCAAGATTCCATCACACTCTCAAAGAAGCTTTAAAAGCTCTAAAAATTGTTTAAGATATATTCTCCATTGAATTAGAAACATCAAATTGCGCTTTATATAGACTTGAGAAACCTATGTGCCAATAGAATTTGCCCTTCTACATGGAAACTATGATTTCTGACTTCTAAAACCTATATAAACCAAAAGAAGACTCATAAATACAAATGCAATTACCCATATGCCGACTCATAGGCAACCCTTACTGCCTACGTCCAAAAATCCTACAAATTACCAAAATACCCCTAACTAGTAAAAGAATTTTGTTAGAAACTAACCAGTAGTATATTTAACCCAAAACAAACAAAAATAGGACTCTACTAAGATTAGAAACTTGACTGTGCATAGTTCCTACAGGTCTCACAATGAAATCATGCCAATTTTCAAGAGTTATTATGTCTTTAAATTTAATTTTCATTGGGCTTCTTATTACATTTTCCTAATGTCATTAATTTATTTTGAAAACTTCAATTAAGCTCTCAAACAAGAATGAAAATAAATTCTTTTATGTCAGAGCTTTTCCATGGGGAAAAAAATCTAGCATACAAGAGGAACAATTTTTTTTTTAGTAATATCAAACTTCTCTAAAGATAGAAAAGCATCAAGGCATCAGCCATATGCCTCAGAAGTTCCATAATCCATCAGGCTTCTTGTAACTAAATAAAAATGTAAGCTTTGATTCCAAATTTGCCTATTTCTCTCCAAAATTATTGGGGGTGAAAAGTAAAAATAAAAATAAAACTCAAGAAAACTAAGTATGGTCAAACTGCTCAAAGATGGACAGTAGGAAAGACATCCTTACATTAAACATATTGAAGGATGCTTTCCTTGAAGCACACAGGACCAATATCCTTAGTTATGATACCTTATGCCTGAAAAGTGACACTCAGATCCTCCATGATCATTTTAACATATCAACCTTCATCGAACTACACTCGGCCCATATTATTTTTTTTTTGGATAAGTTGCTCTCAGCCCATATTATGTCAAGCAAAACATAGGACGTGTATGTGTTTGTGTAGCGGGAGAAAGAGAGAGACCTTCTCTTGCCCTCAGGCCTCTGCCAACTTGCATTTCTCTATAAAACAAAACATCACTATTTGTAACTCATTACTGGCACAAAATCAAACAATGGATCAAAATAAGATAAAATTGAAGGGAAAAAAATGCAAGAACAAGATGAACCCAGTACACATTTATCAAAATACCCTACAGACAACTGACTATAGAACAAGAGATTGACAATATATTTGGAGGAATGTACTGGTTTGATTAAGGGTGAATAATAATATAAAGATTGAAGCAAAACATCCATTGCCAAGTAAATTTAAGAATCCACATGAATACAGCAAAGAGAAACAGGTACTACAGAACTTGGCTTCAAATAAAAACAACATTAAAAATCAAAATAGTAACACTGCAATAGCAACAAAAGCAACATACTTAGATAAACAACCTGACCAACTTCTACTGCTTGCAGCAACTTTTCTTCGGGGAGGAAATTACAATAACCCTGTGGTGGACAAGTCATACAAATCAGTGAGATGATAGAGACTGTAACATGTTCTGTATCAGTTTTGGTGTACTCTGCATCATATCTTTTGTAAACAGGTTCAATAGAAGAAACAATTGAATATTTAATTTCAACAAAGAATGAAGTGAAAGAATTTAGGATTGTTAAAAGAAGAATTAAGTGCAACAAATTCCTATCATATTTAAGTATCTAAGAGCATCCTCATCAAACTAGCTTTAATTGTTTTTTAGCTAATAAACTTCAAAAAATTAAGTCCATCAAACTCGCTTACAACTCGTCAAAATTTACGATGGCTACAATAACTCATTACAACAAGTGAGGCACTGTTCATCGCTACTTGTGTGTTACCGGATGTCTGCCCGGAAGCCCAGCCGGTCAACGGCATATTTTTATTTTTTTTACATTTCTTCTAATTTTACCTTTACAAAGGAACATAAGAATTGTTTGGCTGGCAGTTCATCAATTTAATTAAAAAAAGAATAACAAATATTTTAATAGGATTGAGTTAGAATAGAGAGTTTGATGCAGTGGGGTGATTAGCTAAAATAGAAAAATGGCTTTTTTAGTTATAATTTAACTAAAAATTTAAAAAGATTGGTGTGGATGCTCTAACACTAAAAAGAACATGAAAGCCAAAAGTTAACATCCACCAGAAAAAGTGCAACCAGCAAAAAAAGAAAAAGAAAATGTAAAAGCATACAAGATTTACCACATTGAGTCTTGAATAGACAAAATTCATAACAAATAACATCATTTTCTTTCAACTTCTACCATCAAGAAGGATCCAATGCGGAACAGAAAAGTTAGATGAGGATAAAGATTAAGATTTTTATTTATTTCGGAATTTTATTTACTTGGGAAGTCAAGGTTGCTTAGGATTAGTTTGATTTGTCTATACATATGGACATCATGTGATGGATTTAGTAGACGATATGATTTGAATTTTGATTCATTGAGATATTTGATAACAGATTGTAATCCCCTGTTTATTCTTCTCTCCTTCTTCAATCTTCTTCTTGCTACTGGTGCTACATCAGAAAACACAACCACAAACTATTTTAAATCAAAATATATCATTTAAGTTTCGACATCTAACTTCTAATTTGGTTCAAAATGTCACCATTAAATGTAAAACATTGCCCCAGGAAGTTGAAAATCAATCAATGCCAAGTTCGATAGATACAAAATTATTAGTTAGAACAGACAAGCTGGACTAACATACCCTGCCTAGAATGGTTCCCACATTAAATATGGATCTTTTTAGAAGATTTTTTGTCCAATGAAGTGCATTGCTTCAGCATTTAATTCAAACAATGGCATTGCGTAGAAATAGCATAGAAGTGAAAAGCTAAGACTGATCATAAATTTGTAATATCAATAAATCAATCTATAAGAGGACAAAAACTTCATGCCACCATTTGAACCCTGCGTAAATATTTGGGGGCCTGAAGAAAATGCTACAAAAGGGATTACAGTCACACCAATAGCATAGTGAAAGAAGAAAGAAGATATGACTTAATTTACAATTCTATGCTCATGACAAAGTTGAGCATATGAGATTCAATTCAAACCCAAATTTACCCTTGAGACCAAGTTCCAGATAAATCTCTACAACCAACAAATCTGCTCATGCTTTGAGGAATGAGTAAGCTAGTGTTTGCGCGTGTGCCTATCAAGATCAATTAGCTTCCAATGGATATAAAAAAAAAAAAAAAAAGAAGTGGAGCACCACTGACCTCTATCATCAAAATTGCACTGTCTGTACCAGCTAGCAACAAATCTAACTCAGAGTCTTCCATCTCCTTCATTGTTGGATTCACTATAAACTTATCATTAACCAGGCCAACTCGAACTCCTGCAATAGTTTTCGAATGTGGCACTTCTGAAAGTGCCCTGTGATATTCACATAATTAGAAAAATGTTTAATATTAAATGAGGTTTAAAAGCCCAAAAGCCATTTGGGAAAAAGAAAAATCAAACTTACACTGCAATTCCAGCTGCTGTGACCGCCAAGGAATCAGGAGGGTGCAAACCATCATAGCTCAAAACCTGCAAGTACATTGAGGGCTGTTAGAGCACCAATTGTCCTAAAAGCTTGGACTTCTAAGAAAGGGGCCCAACAATGCATATCAAGCTCTCCAACAAGGGCAGCAGTTCTTTTTTTTTTCCCCTTTTAACATGGTAACAATTCTTGTGGAGAAGAATAATGAAGTGAGAAAGGAGACAATGCAGTAATTATAAAACTAAAGAGCCAGCAACTTTGTCATCCAATCTTAAAATTGGAAAGCGATACTTGATAGTAATCTTGTCAATAGTTCTACTATCAACAGATATGCTATGAACCATCTTTATGAGGCGTAAAAAGAGCCAACACACCACAAAGTCTAAGACTTGGCCTTATGTATCACTTTCCTAAAAGCTGTTCAACTTGCTTTTGAAATTCTTCCCTCTCTTTTGAATGCATCCTATAGGTTGGTTGGTTTGCAAGCACCAAACCGGGCACCAAATCAATACAATGTTGGATATCCTGCATAGGAAACAACTTAGAAGGAAGTTCTTGTGGAAACACATCAAAATATTGCTCCAAAAGTGTGCGAACAGTTGTATTACCTCTATTTCAGCTGTATGTAGCAACAGAACCAACACCAAAAAATGAACCCTGATTCCCTACTCTCTTCCAATAACCTCTTAGTAGCAAGCAAAGTGTTCGAAGGTGACTTTGTGGTGCCTTTTGCCCCCATGGGCAGAAATGTGAAGTGCTTCTCTTCCTTAAGAATGGTGTAGGTATTATGCTTGTCATCATGCAAGTTCAACTATCATACTGTCGTGGTCACCCAATTAGGATATAGCAAGCATCCATTGGCACGACATCACACCAAACCTCATCAAAATACTTCTTTCAGATAGAAAATGCTATCAAACACCTCTTATTAACCTTGATTTCATTACCCTTCTTAAACCAAGATAGTGTGTAATGATGAGGGTGGTTTTCCACTTTGAGGCTCAACTTATTAACCACCTTTTGAAAAACCACATTCTCACAACTTCCACTATCAATTATCATGTTCCAAACATGGCCACCAATGTTGCAAGTAGTGTAGAAAATGTTGGTGCGCAATCAATCCTCTTGACTTTCTTGCTTAAGCGTAAGAACAGTTTATTGATCATGGGAGCAAGTCCTCCTTCCTCAACATCCCCTCCATTTTCCTTATTGGAACGTCATCATCACAACTTTGTTCCATTACTTCATGAAGAAGTGCCTTATTTTGGTTGTTGCTTAAATCCTTTTAACAATCCGAAGACTTGTGACCCGCTTGTCCACACCTGAAGCACTTAAAACCACCACTTTGGGGCTGATTTTGGCTTCCCCAAAGCACCATTAGTGTGATGATTTTGTAACAAGGCATATCTACACTCTTCATTGAAGGACTAGTCTTGGCAAAACTAGGAGTGGATTGGCACAGCCTAAAACCACCTTGGAATGATTGTCTGTCCTATAAACACCTCAACCGCCAAATCCCTATTGTAAGCTTCCTCAACAGACCACAAAGTGTGAAGAACAACTACATTTTGGATGGAAAGCTTCAAGCCACTTATGTACCTGTGGTAGCCGAATAAAAGCAGACGCAGATAGGCAGTGTATATTTTCCCAATCGGTGTAAAGTATGCACTCGGCCCCGCCCCTGACGTTTTAGATGCCGAATAAGTTGAGCAGGGGGCCGATTAAAAGTTGGAATACGGCATAATGCGGGGGCCGAGTGCATAAGTATATGATAGATCAAGAGCGGGCCCTGCCTAGAAGACCAGGAGTGTATATAAATAGAAGAACGATGAACAAGAAGAGGTATGTGAAAATTAGTACGCTTAACTTAAGACACACACAATCTAGAGAGCATACACTGACTTATCCGTCGGAGTGCTAATTCCGGCACCCCCGACCGGAGTGTTCATTCTTTTTCAGGCTACCAACTGAGGATCTCGAGTGTCCCATTGGATCCAAAGAGTATTTCCAAACTACCTTCCCCACAATTGGCGCCGTCTGTGGGAATACTCAACTACATCCATGGCGGGCGCAACGGAAGATCCTCCGATAATCGCTGACGAAACTACACCGAGAGATGATCTCACCCCAACAAACATGCTGGGACCAGAAACTATCGCCGCAAGACGCGTCTTGAACTTCGACTCACCCTCGACTTCAGCGTATGAGACAATGCAAGCGATCATGGAACAAGCAAAGCAAAACGAACAGAGGTTGGAGAACATGATCGCTGAGAACGAACGTCTCCGTCAGTATTTGGCCTTGGAAGTGGCGAAGTCCAAACAAGCTGCACGCCAAGATCCGGAACGACCTCTGAGGGTAGGTGGTCGATGACCTTGAGCCCGACAACAAGACACTGACAACGACTCTGACTCATTATCCCCGGAGCCCAAGAAGAAGGGACGACTAGAAACTACCAGTTCCTCAGAAGAGAGCCCCCGTATAAGGCATAAGTGAAGACGAAATGGTTCAGACGAAGAGGACCAGCACGATCCCTTTGTGCGACGGATCGCAAAAGCAGTACTACCCAAGAAGTTCAAAGCCCCGTCGTTCACCTTGTACGACGGGAAATCGGATCCCACGGATCATATCCGTCACTATAAGCAAGCCATGACGTTGCATGCAGACGACGAAGCTCTCATATGCAGAATATTTCCGAGCAGTTTGGGACCGTTGGCAGTCAGATTGTATTATAAATTGGAGCCGGTGTCGATTAAGAGTTTCCATCAATTACAAAAATCCTTCAGGGCAAGATTCATCACCAACGAGGTCCAGCCGAAACAAGCCGACTCTCTCTGGGCAATGCAGATCCAGCCTGGAGAAACACTAAGAGCGTATTCGGTGCGCTATTGGGAGTGTTTTAATCTTGTTGATAACGCTTGCAACGACTCCATGGCCATCACCGCCTTTAAAATGGGTTTGCATCCTGACAGTGCTCTCCGTAGTTCCTTGACTAGAAGGCCCTCCAAAACAGTCTGGTCGTTGATGAAAAAAGTTGAGGAATACTGCAAAGTGGAAGACGACGCCTTGCGGGTTAAAACCGGGAACAAGGCTGACAAGACGGCCCATCCTGAAATTGTTCAGCCGGTAAACTCTGTGTCACCTCAGAGTCCCGAACCACGGCATCGGGCTAAACGAGAAAAGAGACGGGATTCACGCCGATCAAACGACCAATGTTCCCATCGAGTTAGCAAACAACTTCAAATAGATAGTAGGCGCATAAGGCGCGCGGACAAGAAGTATACGGAGTTGTCGGAGCCGATCAGCGTGGTTATGTCTAAAGTCCAACACCTTCCATTCTTCAAATGGCCACCCAAAATGGTGGGACCTCCCGACACGAGACGACGAGATAGGCGGTGCGAGTATCACAAAGACCACGGTCATGATATTGAGAGTTATTATGCATTGAAGGATCACTTGGAGGAATTGGTACAAGATGGTCGGCTACAACAGTACGTCCGAAAAGGCAACTCAACCAAAGCAATAGCCTTAAGATAGGATTCACCTCCACTCGGCGTGATCCACATGATATATAGCCTACTAGCGACATCCGCGGTGCATACGATTCAGTCGCGTCCCGACCCTCAAAATCAACTTACCCCTGCTAAACGGCCCCATAAAGCTGCGAGCATTGCCTTCGATGATTCAGATTTGGTTGGAGTGACACTTCCTCACATCGATCCTTTGGTAATCAAGTTACGCGTAAACCGATTCACCGTTGAGCGCGTACTCATTGATCCTGGGACCACATCAGAAGTTATGTATTACAAGACATTCACCAAACTCGGCTTCACAAAATCGGATCTTTCTCCAGCTCCTTATCCGTTATTCGGCTTCAACGCCAATCCAGAGTACCCGTTCGGCAAAGTCACGCTACCAGTTCGAGTAGGCTCGCGAACAGTGGATGTGGAATTCTTGGTCGTCAAGCTGCCCTCGCCGTATAACCTCATCATGGGCCGAACTTGGCTACACACCATGCAAGCCGTGCCAAGCACCTATCATCAATTGCTCCGTTTCCTTACTGAACGAGGCATTGAACAAATCCGTGGTTCACAGAAATCAGCACAAGCATGTTATCTCCTTGCCGCGAAGACACCAAGAGAGCTGGAAGGGAATTCTATTAAGGTGCCGGATCAAGAGAACCTTGACGATGTTGGACAGCTTCCAATTGAAAAGGCCACGGAAACCCTGGATCGAGTTGAAATTGTCGAGAATCCTGACAGGTTCTTCATGATCGGTGCCTCCCTGAACGAAGTCGATAGACAACAGCTAATTACTTTCTTACTCGGCAACCTTGACGTATTTGCCTGGTCGCCGTATGAGATGCCGGGAGTAGATCCATCTGTCTCTCAGCATCGTTTGAATATCGACCCCAAATGTAAGCCGATTATACAGAAAAGCCGGCGGCTAGCCGCAGAGCACACTGCCGCCGTTGTTGAAGAGGTTGACCGGTTGCTTGACGCCAGAGCTATCAGGGAAGTGACCTACCCTACATGGCTCTCGAACACTGTGGTTGTGAAGAAGAAAAATGGGACTTGGCGTGTCTGCGTTGGTTTCACCGACCTAAACAAAGTTTGCCCCAAGGATTGTTTTCCCCTACTCAAAATTGACCAACTTGTACATGCTACGGCACGTCACCAGCGTATGAGCTTCCTTGATGCCTACAGAGGCTACCATCAAATTGCCATGCATTCGGAGGACCAAGACAAAACTGCATTTCTCACCCCAAGAGGAACCTATTGCTATAAGGTTATGCCTTTTGGGCTGAAGAATGTAGGGGCAAGTTACCAAAGGCTAGTCACTGCCATGTTCAAGGAGCAACTCGGCCACACTCTGGAAGTTTACATTGACGATATGGTGGTCAAGTCCAAAGAAGAGCAAACTCATCTGGCTGATTTAGAAGAGACATTCGGCATTCTACGCAAATATAAAATGAAGCTGAACGCTTCAAAATGTGCGTTTGGGATCCGCTCTGGCAAATTCTTGGGTTACATTGTCAACTACCGAG